TTTTTTTTTTTTTTTGTGGAACCAGGGATTGAACTCATGCCCTTTGGCTTGCCAGGGAAGCATTTATTCTACTGAGCCATCTCCCCAGCCCCTGGATCATTTTTTTAAAAAGAAAAAATAATCAAAATTCCTAATGAAATCATGTTTTATCATCAGTCATGGAAAGACTATATCAACAGCAATATATAATGGTGTTAAGTTGGGTCTAAATGTACTAATATGAAAAAAATGGCCAAGAAATACTAAATGAATAGTACTAAGATGCAAACTGTGTAGTGTGATACCATTGGATTTTTTCTTTTAAAAAAGATACATATGGCTACCATGGTATTTTACGATTTATTATTTGTTACCTTCTAGAATTTATATTATAAAATATAAAGCTTCTCTAGGCTCAGTGATGCATGCCTATAATTCCAGAAAAAAATACAAAGCTGTAATGAGTACTTTTATGTGTACAGTTTTATAAATTTGTGTAAATTTGTATCTAGGTCAAATAGATGGATAAAATTAGTACAAGTAGAATTGCAAGGTTTAAAAAGTATGTATAATTTTCATTTTGATAGTTTTTTTAAAAAAATCAAATATCAAAATTAAGTCCATAGTTTTATACTGATAATAGTTGAGCTGACAATTGATAGACTCACTTTTTTTTTTTTAGGTCCAAAGCCTACTCATCCCACCAAGCCTCCAGTTCATAATTATCCAGGTTTGACAATTATTCATCTTATTAATATAGTTTAAAATTTATTAATGATAGATTTAAACATCATGTTTTGTTTTAATTTGTATTCTTTATCAATGAGGCTGAACTTTTTTGGTCTGCATTTTTATTTGTAAATTTAGCTGAGATGGAATCTTGCTATTCACTTAGGCTGTCCTCACATTCCTAGATCCAAGTGGCCCTTCTGCCACTGCCTTCTGAGCAGGTGAGCCCACTGTGGTGTGCTACACTCGGAGGTTCACGTTTGCTTATTTGGGTCTTTTTTGCCTTTTTTCTGTTAGTTTCCCAAATGTTTGGTTTTTTAAAAAATTTTTTTATTGTTGATTTTAAGAGTTTTTATAAATGAAAACACCTCTCTTATAAACATTTTTCCCATTTTCATTTTTACTTATACTAGCTTTTTATACTATTAGAGATTTTTTATAACTTTTAATTATGTTAGTTTACAAATATTTTGACAAAACTTCAAAAATTTTTTAAAAACTTCAAAAATTACAAAAGCATAGAGTAAAAGATTAGTTCTCTTTCTAGTGTATTAGGCCCAAATCAATCACTATCCATAGTTTTGGGTTTCTTTTTCTGTATTCTATGTGTCAACATGTCCTTTGGCATTTTTAAAAATTAAGATGGCATTATGCTGTGCATAATATTCCCCAACTTGGACGTTTTTCAACTTAGTGCCTTGGACTGAAGGTTTATTCCCACCATTCAGATGATTGCTTGAATATATGCCATAATTTATTTAACTCTTCTCTTATCAGTGATCATTTGTGTGTTCAGAAGTGTTACATCAGTAGACGATTAGATGTACTCATCTTGCCCCTAATGGCTATGACTTTTGTATTCTTCTCGTAGGACCTTTGGTTTTTCCCATGCTGATTTCAACTCCATGCACCTGGCTTCATTCTTTGCATTTCAATTGTTGGTAAATTTGAAATTCCTAAGTCATTCCTCTCTGCCCCCAAGGTAGGAACCCCCAGTTGTGGGTAAGTTGTTGCCCCCTGCTGGTCTAAACTCACTTTTATCATCCACCATATTCGTAGGTATTCCGCTCCTCTCTCTCTTGTCTTCTGTTCATTCCTGTGCCAGAGTTGCTTGCTTATTATTTTTTTACTATAACACTACAGATTTTAATATATTATAAATGCTTCCTTATCAGATATTTCCAGCCCCTCTCATGTTAACTTTTCTAGATCAACTTTTTGATTAGGAATTTGCTAGTCCTTGCCCATCTTCTCTGGAGGAAGAGCTATTTGAGCTTGTGGCCCTTTTTTGAATGGGACTTGCAGTTACTAAGTTTTAAGAGTGATTACTATACTCTGAATACTAATCTCATCAAATACATGATGAGCAAATATTACCTCTCTAATGGGTCTTCTTTTCATTCTGTTAGTGTCCACTAGTGCCCCAAAACTTTTAATTTTGTTGAAGTTCTTTTATCCATCTTGATGTCGGTGTTGCCTGAATCCCATCCTGAGATCATTGCTGGATCCGATGTCATGAAGCCTCTCCCTGCTGTCGTTTATAGTTTTAGATCTTATGTTTAGGTTAAGCCATTTTGAGTTGTTTTTTGTATGTTAAAGATCCAACTTCATCCTTTTGCCTGTGTCCCCAAGTACCCTTTGCATGGGCTCTTCTTGGCACTCTTGAAAAGAATTTGATTAAACATGATGAGGCTTATGTTCCAGATTCCCTATCCCTTTACACCTCTGTCACTCCATTTTGATGATTGTAGGGTATTTTTCATTTTACTTTGTTTTTTATGTATTTTAGTACAGGGTCTCACTACACAGATCAGACTTGTAGCGGTCCTCCTGTTTTCATTCCCCCAAGTGCTGGGATTACAGGCGTGTACCACCATGCCCAGTCTCATTTGCCATCTTAGCACACCCCAGGGGACAGGGCCAGCATGGCATACCAGGGATTCAACTCTGGTCCCTGCACCTGGCTAAGCAGGCACTTTAGTCTGCTGAGCTATCTGGCAGGCCCCAATGATTATAGTTTTGTAGCTAAGTTTTGAAACTAACTAACCAATGTAAGTTCTGTCAACTTTTCTTTTTCTCTTCTCTTCTCTTCTCTTCTCCTTTTCTCTTCTTTGTCCAGGATTGTTTTAAGTATTTGTGATCCCTCAAGATTTCATAATAATTTTAGGATAAATTTTATGTTTCTGCAGAAAGCATCATTAGGATTTTGATAGAGGTTGTGATCCAAATCTGTAGACTGCTTTGTGTTTATTGGTAGCTTAAAAATAATGTCTTTCAGTTCATGAAAGCAGGATGTCTTTCCATTTATGTCTTTTATGTTTTTAATGTAGCTTTAGTGTTCAAATCTTGCCTTTTAGGTAAAGTTCATTCCTCATTGTCCTATTCCTTTTGATGCTATTTTAAGTAAAATTGTGTTGTTAATTTCCATTTCGGATCGTTTATTTTAATGCACAGAAATAGAACTAATTTTTGTGTGTTGACTTTATATCCTGCAGCTTTGCTGAATTCACTTCTCAGTCCTAATAGGTTGTTTTGATTGTGTAGTGTATGTGGAATGCCTGGTTTTCTACATTAAAGATCATTTGATCTGTAAAGATGATACTACTTCAGTTTGGATTCCTTTTCTTACCTAACTGCTGGCTAGAACACCCACTACTGTGTTGCACAGCTGTGGCAAACATGGGCGTCTGACTTGACTCTGATCTTAGAATCGCAGTGGTACAAGCACTGAACATGATGTTGGCTGTGGATCACTCTTGTGTGGTCTCCTGCTGGTGAGATCTCCTTCTACTCCACACTGACTTCTAAAGCATTTATTGAGCCCTATTCTATCTTTAAATTAGAATCACTAAATAACACAGACTCATTTTGAAAATGTATTAAAGATAAATTTGAGGGCCAACCAAATAGCTCAGCAGATTGAAGTGCCTGCAAGCGGGCGCAGGGGCCGGGGATTTGATCTCCTGGCATGCCATGCTGGCCCTGCACCAGGGACACGCTGAGACAGTGATTGAGATTAGGCGTGGTGGCGCACGCCCATAATCCCAGCTCTTGGGAGCCTGTAAACAGGTGGATCACTATGTATCCAGTCTCGTAGTGAGACCCTGAACACCCTGTAGACCCTTCCCTAAAATACAAAAAAAAAAAAAAGAAGAAGAAGAAGAAGAAAGAAAGAAAGATAAATTTGTATGCAAGCCACAATAGTACCACAGGGAATGTGATTCAATGGAGCAGGAAGAAAAAAGCTAATAGTATTGCATATAAATTTATAGGACTCTATGATACTACTTTTTTTTTTTTTTTTTTTGCGGAACCAGGGATTGAACTCAGATCCTTGCGTTTGCCAGTCAAGCACTTATCCTACTGAGCCATCTCCCCAGCCCCTATGATACTACTTTAAATAAGAACTAGTGACACAGCTTATAAGGAAAATGAAATTTGAGGAGATTTTGTTCAAAGGCAAAAAATATCAACGTATGGATTTGAAGGATTTTACACTTTGTTTTTCTTCAATTTTTACTAACCAATTTCCTTCTTTTTTTTCCCTAGGATATCCCAACCCTAGTGAAGGATTATTTGACCAAGAATTAAGTTAGTATTTTGATTATTAATAATAACTGCATTATGAGGCCAAATAGTTTATATAGAAATAAATATTTCAATTACTGGCAATTAAGTAAGAAACAATATCACACATTATTCATGTTAATTGACACTTATAGTTACTTTGATTGTATTGATCATATAAAAATATAAGTGATGGTAGGTATAAAAACATGTTGGTAAGTACAGTTTTAGAACAGTGCCTTAACATAGGAAAGTAAGTAGGATAAGGTCACTTTCTTAAACACTCTTGCCATATGTTAAATATATAAAATGGAACTTATTTCCAACATGAATATCATTTTGTGATGGCAATTTGTAGCTGTATTCTCTTCCTATTGTCTTATATGCACCAACCTTAAAGCCCTAGAGGTTGGGCTAGTAAGGGGTCAGTCTAACACACATTATGTAGGTTTACATGATTCACAATATATAAAGTAAAATGAACTCTGGTCCTCACAGTTTTTTTTTTTGTTTTTGTTTTTGGTTTTTTGGTGGAACCGGGGATTGAACTCAGGCCCTTCTACTTGCCAGGCAAGGGCTTATTCTACCGAGCTATCTCCCCGGCCCTTGTCCTCACAGTTAAAGTTCAATATAATATAAATATTTCTTGATGTACAAAATAGGACAAAAGTCTATTTTTATTTATTAAACTGGCTTAGCAATGATTAACCTTTTAATAAGTCACGTTGGGTTATTGGGCTTTAGTACATTGTCTTTCCAGACTGGTTCCCTCAGATACCAAACATGGGTACTTGTGTCCTCCTCATAAAATGGCATAATATTTCCATATCCCAAGCCACCTCCTCCTGTGTTCTCTGCCCTCCCTAGATCCCTTATAAAACCCAATCCAATAGGAATGCTATTGAAACAGTTGTCATTCTCTATTGTTTAGGGAACAATGCCAAGAAAATCAAGTCTATATATGTTCAGTAAAGACACAATTTATTCCCCAAATATTTTGAGTCCATAGTTGATTGGATCCATGGAATTGGAACCTAGGAGTACAGCTTCAATTCTACATTGGCCCTTGACTTGCGCACGCTGATGATGCGGGGTGCATCCTGATGAAACCTCATGTACATGGGAGATACTCTAAGCCCAAATGCACCCCAAACCCTAGCTTCTGGATACCACAGCTTGGCCACCTGCAGGACTCCTGGTTGTTTACTCCTGTGGTCACATGGCAGCCCCCACCCCCAGCATCCTGAGGTCCATCATGGGTCCTACTGCCCCCCAAGAAAAGGTCAAAATTCAAAGTTTTTCCTCAACTCTAATGCATGCTAATTGTTCCAATAAGCTTTGCTAAATAACCTGAAGACCAAACACAGAAGAGGGAAGTTTTTATTAAAAATTTTTACAAATTGGACCCACAACCTAAAAAGTAGGTTAGAAGGGTTCAGTGACGTAGGAGCCAGATGTAGGCACAGGCCTTAACAGCAGCACTCGGGTGAGGCAGGAGAGTCTCTGTGAGTCTGAGGCCAAGCTGTACTACATAGTGAACAAAACCAAACAAATAAGGATGCACTAGCTCTCACGCTAAAAATACTCTTTTGTTTTGGTCTAAAGTTTAGATGATCTGAGCTAAATAAAGGCTAACCACTCTTTAGATCCATTCTTGCTCTACATCTTCCATTTTTACATTTTCCAGATGCATGGATCATCATTCTGATTATTCTAATTGCAGGTAAATATCCCAAATTTTGAATATCACTACAAAGAAGTGGGCTTTTTAAAATGTTTTATTCAAGAAGTGGGCTTTTTAACATTAATTTTCACGTCTATAGTTTTTATAGCTTGAGATGAAAAAGACCAACCTAGATTGAAACCAGCATGGGCAAGTTTTTGTGAGTTTCTGTCTCAAATTAGAAAAATGAAAGAGGGCTGGGGAAGGCCCTGGGTTCAGGGTCACGTACTGCACAGGAAAGAAAAGGTGGTCACCCAACGTGGAGATATCATGCCCTTTACTTTTGCTGGCTTTATTTTTTATATTTTCCTGTATCCTATATATACACTTTATTTTTTTGAGACAAGATCTTTTTAAAAAAATTTTTATTAATTTTAATTAGAAAGAAATAGCAATGAGAGTTTCAAAACAGGTTAGTAGGACAATTACAAGAATTAATACATTACATAGCATTGTCTTTGCAGTAGTTATTCAGAGTACAAGATGCAGACATGTCTTGTCTAAACACTATTAGTACAAATCTTTCTTCTTATTGAACTAAGAGAAAGTAGCTGTATAGCTATCCTAACTATTTTGTATATACAGATTTTTTTTTTCACTACAAATTTGTCTTTCATTTATTTCCCTCTTCTTTGTTTTGTCAGAGATGGGTGTTCCATTGCCATTCAAATATTGTACATGCTTAGATTCAGCAAAATAACGCAATATAGTCCAGTAGTCCATAATAGTACTGTTATCAACAGAACTGGCAATGTCAGAAGTTGTTGACTTGAGCCTTTTACAGTTCAGCATATTAATATGGCTTTACTTTTTGTACCTCATGGTACATACTTTCAAAAGCCTACTTATAACATGTTTTCCTAAGATGGAATGAGAAGAGTTTGCTTCTCAAGTGTGCGTTTGGGTAATTTTCTAAATCAAGCTGGTGCTCACCGCTGACTCACTGTCCACTGTGAAGTGCTTCCAGGGAACTGGATGTGGATAATGAAGACTCCAGATGGACTAGAAGCTATAGATACTTAACTAAAATACCATTTTCTATCATTTAAATGTGAACACCATTGCCTCTTCTATTTAGATTTTGAATTCTGGTATTCGCTTTCTGAGTCACATTGATTTATCTCCTGCTTTCCTGTAGTTGTTGGGTTGGCTCTCCTCGTCCTTCTGATGCAAAGATTGTTTCAGGACCAGAAGAGGTAAGAACAGCGCATTTCCTCTAGCGCATCAGGCCTTCTTACCCTCCATGCGCTTTTGTGCAGCCCAAGCTCGGCTCTGTTTTGGCGGCATCTTTCTCCGAGCACGCCTGCACTGGTGTGCCCTCCAAATTGCATCTCTCTACTGTAATATTCCCAGCTAATTTTAACGGCATTGGCAGGGCGAGGGATCTGTACTGAGTTCTTCAGCACTGCTCTCTGAGCAGTTCTGAGCAGATGGAGGTGTAAGTTCCTTGGTGAATCAAGGACTCTCCTGAGGCCACGCCCACGCTGGGGACCTGCTATTTCCTAAATGGCTGAGTGACCAGAAGGAAAGTATTTCACTGGGGAGACCGACAGCTGCACTCAATGGGCTTTCTATGATGAATTTTCTGTTTCTCTGTATGATTTAACTGGTTATAAAAAGCTATGCAGGCGTCACATTCAAATTCCCAATTTTTGGGGGCTGGCCAAATAGCTCAGCAGATTAAAGCGCCTGCTTAGGCAGATACAGTGCGGGGGGGGGGGGTTTGGTCCCCCGGTGTGCCGTGCCAGCCCGCCCCCCTGGGGTGTGCTGAGATGGCATTTGAGACTGGACGTGGTGGTGCATGCCTGTAATCCCAGCTCTTGGAAGGCTGAGAACAGGAAAATCACTATGAGTCTGATCTACATAGTGAGACCCTCTAGATCCTGTACAAAAAAAAAAAAAAAAAAAAAATCCCAATTTTTAGGGCTGTGGAGAGAATTCAGTGGTCTATGCGCCTACCTAGGCAAGCTCAAGGACCCAGGTTCGATATCCGGTATTACATGCCATGCCGGCCCGGAGCCAAGCTGGCCACAGAAACTCGGCATGGTGGTATACTCCGGTAATCCCAGCACTGGGGAGGCTGAAACAGGAGGATCACTAAGAGTTCGAGCTGCATAGTGAGGCCCTACACCAAAATACATAAAAATAAATAAATAAATAAGTTTCAAAATTCTAATTTTTTTTTTAATTTGGAGATGTTATCTATAAATGTTAAACTAGGGGATAAAAACCAACAGCAGTTGATTTCTCTCTTATGCTCCCTTCATTTATAAGATTGCATTATAATGAAGGGGCTCCAGTTGCTGAGGCCCTCTCTGTTAGCTTTTAGTTATCTTTTGCTCTATAAAAATAAAAACAGAAAACAGTGCATAAATGCATATCTTCTAAGGAAAATAGAATTTTTAAATACAAGTTTAAATTTGAACAAAGGAATACATTATAATGAAAAATTTAGGGTAAATCCTGGAGTATGGACCAAGAATAGTCAGAAATATACATATTTTTTTCCCTATAGCATTAAAATAGTTTTGAAATCAAGCCTCATAATTTTAAGACTTCTGTTGCTTCTTTTTTGTTCCTTTTATATATTCAGGTTCAGGCTGTGTAATAAAAGTATAGTCTTCTCTCATAAAAATCAATTGTTTTCATATTTTTGGTTAACTTTTAAAATATTTACAACTTCTTCATTGAATGTTAAATCTTATACTTAAGGAACACTTAAAATCCAGACTTAATTTTTCTGAAAGTTTTCTGGTTTTCAATTCTATATACACAACTATGTGAATAAAAATATCACTGGAATAGTTTATGAATCTAAAAGGTTGTGAAGAAATAACTTCTAGCAATACGAAAACAGCTTTCTGCTCATTTCCTTTTTTGTTTAAAACATCACTTCCTCAAAATTCCCAAAGATTTCCAAGGCCTATTAGCCATACTCTCAGAGATCTTTTAAATCTAAGCAATGACCTGACCATTACACTCACAAATTAAGGCTCAAAAGCAATCGAGATTTCAGATTTCAAAATTAATTTTTATGATGTTTATTAAAAGCCCATATGTCATAGCACAGGGGTCCAACAGAAAATTCCCTTATTAAAATTGTAATATATATATTACAATTTTTTTTTTTTTTTTGGCAGAACCAGGGATTGAACTCAGGCCCTTGCGCTTGCCAGGCAAGTGCTTTCTCTACTGAGCTATCTCCCCAGCCCCCTGTAATATATTTTGGAAAGATGCTTTATCTTTAACCAACACAACATAATTAAACTCTTACATATCAGTGCAACTTGAGGTCAAAATACAAAGAATGGTGTGGGAGGTGTCATTCTTCACTGCCCTTGGAACTAAAAGGCAAACTGTATGGGAATCTTTTAGGGTTTCCTTTGCTTTCTTTGTAGTAGAAACATACTCAGTACAGCATGTCATGGTTGAGCCAAGAGTTAGGTTCTTTCAAATGCCTAGTATGCACAGGGTCCTGGGTTCAAGGCCTGACCAAACACAAAACGAGAGGGTGAAGGAAGAGAGGAAGGAAAGGCAGGGAAATGGAAGAAGGGAGGAAGGGAGGGAGAGAAGAGAAAAGAGGAAGGGAAGAAGAAGGAGAAAACAGTTACATTCCTAATTTTCAGATTGGCTGGCTTCAAGGCTGTGCAGTCCTCCACGTTGTTCTTGTCCTAAACATCCTCTACTGAGGGGTAGTTTGCCTTTCCTCTTTAGAGCCCAGAAGAGAGCTTTTCTAATTCTTTGTGCTCTTAGATGCCCTGTACATAACTGGGTCTGGGACAGAGCCTGAGTTGCTGTGTATCTGATGGCACCAGGGATGACACTGTATTGCTCCAACCAGAGCTTTGAATATCAGGGGTACTGACAGGCAGGATTGATTAGAGTCAGATCATGGATGGGAATGGTCAACTTAACTTGCAGTGGGGACAAGGCTGAAAGTCCCAAACCTCTGACCCCGCATGGTGCTTCTGTGAGCATCCCCCATGCTGACACTACCTGGGGCTTCAGCCGCCAGTCAGTTCACACCAAGGGACATCACGCTGATGAGGGCTTTGATCATTGTATGGTGGGAAACAGGGATGGTGGCCAAATATATACTCCATATTATCAGGGGGATGTCAAAACTTCTCACATAAGACTACAAAACGTATATTACTTCTCGATGCACATGGAGCCAGGGTAATGCTCATGGATCATCTCAAATTGCTGTTTTATCTTGGTACAAAATGGACTGAGGCACACTGATACTTAAGAAGATTTGGACAGCTATCCTTCTGTGGCCTTCCTCTCAAAGCACAAAAATGGGATCAGTAGTCATTTTAAAGAGCATCCAATATTACTTAAATTATGTGGTGAAAGGTGGCCCGAAGCTTAAGCATCCTACTGGTTTCCTGCATCTTAGCTCTCAGACCATTTGCCAGACAGGATCTCCCTGGTCTAGAGCTGGTCCCACCCAAGGTTCCCTTCTTCTCTGTCCTTCTTCAGCGAATTCTTTCTCATCTCGGAAGCCACAGCCCTTGTCTTGCTATGCTTAAGGCCCATCCTGGGAATCTGCATGGCTCCGAATCACACACATCGCCTTGGGCTTACATGTTTTTTCACTTGGGAATTTTCTTCATAAGTGTATTATTTTAGGTTATGAAAATTATCTGTATCATTCATACTTTCAGTTATCTGTGCCAGAGTAGTTTTTTCCTATTAGTGATATTTACTATTTGGTATGCCCTAAAGCTGCTTTTAATGTGATAGTAAATGATTCAATTACTTTGTGCACCCTTCGATAGCTCAGCTGGCAGAGAGGAGGACTGTAGACATGATTCAATTACTTTGTCATTTTTAAACTATCTGCTTAAAGGTTTGTTTCGCTCAGTGAAACATTTATTTAGGCATGGAGAGCTCAAAAATTAAAACCAGAAATTGTAATCATATGTGGCAAAAAAAAAAAAAAAAACTATTGGATCAAATTAAGCATTTTTTTCTAGTTGGCTCTCAAATTTTTTAGTATTCAACAAATCATTCTAGGGCTGGCAAGATAGCTCAGCAGACTAAAGTGCCTGTTTAGGCAAGTTTAGGCAAGCACAGAGACCGTGGTTTGCTTCTCAGCACCACAAGCCTCACCAGCCCTGCCCCTAGGGTGGGCTGAGCCAGCTGTTGAGTCCAGGAGTGGTGGCGTATGCCTGTAATCCCAGCGCTGGGGAGGCTGAAAGCAGGAGGATCACCATAAATCCAAGCTGCGTAGTGAGACCTGCAACAACCAAATACATTAAAAAAAAATCATTCTAAACTTTGAAACAAAAATACTATGTAACAAAAGATTGTGTAGTTGGCTTAGGAAGCATAATGAAATGAGGGTGACCCTAGAAATTTGGGGGGCTGGGTAATAAATGTTACAGGAACTTTCCTTCAGGTTGAAAAGTAATTGCCACAAGAAGGAACTGTATTCAATGCAAAGTATTAAGGTGCATCTTAAAAAATGACTTGTCATAAAATTGACTTATAAGACAGTATGATGTAGAGTTAATAAATCCTGTATGTGTTTCCAATAAAAGCAGGAGTGTAGAGCTGGATCACCTCTCCTCCCAAGTGTGACTGCTTGAAAGAATTTTTACAGTATTTGCACTGTGCAAGATGGTTTCAAGGGTAAACATATTGGACAGAAATTTAGAATCTGTTGATCTGCTGGGTGATATGTAAGACTTCAGAGTAGCTCGTTGTACCAGATCTGTGGGTCAGATCCCCAGGTGCGAATCAGAAAATGTGGTCGATTAATGAATGGGCCTGGTGCTTCCCCGTCACTGATTTCCCCCACTTGTGCCAGGATGCCTGCTTCTTTCTGGCTCGATCCCTCTGCCTTGTTCAACTGTTTTCCATCCCTCTGTCCAGCACAAACCTGTGACAGCCACAGAAATGTAAAATGGACTTCTCTCTGAGAACAGATGAAAGGTTTGCTTTTTTTTTTTTTTTAATGTGTTTAGTACAGGGTCTACAGGGTCTCACTACACAGATCAGACTCATAGTGGTTCTCCTATTTTCCGCCTCCCAAGCACTGAGATTACAGGCACAGGCTACCACGCCCAGTCTCAATCACTGCCTCAGCACCCCCCAGGGGCAGGGCTGGCATGGCAGGCCAGGGATCAAACCCCAGCCGCTGCACTCTGTTGAAGCAGGCATTTTAGTCTGCTGAGCTATTTGGCCA